AACCACAAACAGGGGTGGTAGACAATGAAGAAGATGCATTAATGGCTTCCGCTCGTTCCGCTTCAGAAGTTCCTCGCAATAAAGTTGGAGTCAATGCTGCAGCACCATTAAGGAAATCTGCAAGTGGTGCAACATTTGCTAGATTACGAGTCACACCTGCAGTTGAAACAGCGCCTGGCGAACCTCCCAGTCCTCGAGTACAAACCGAAGTTGATGCTTCTTACTGTTCCTATGATGTTACTAATCCAAAATATGTTGGCAATCAGAGTCCTGTGCGTAATGTTTCGGATTTATTACATCCCAATTATAAAGAAATAGTTTTCATTTAAGTGTTATCTTTGTATTTCTCATAGGTAACGGAACAGAGAGAACCATTAAAAAGAGAACCACGAAGAAGAACAGAAGGACGTCAACAGACAAGAACTAATCGTGCTGCAATAAGAGACTATTCCATTACTCAATTCGCACAGATAGATGATGATAATGTATCAGCATTACAACAAGTAACTAAAGGTGGTGGTGGTTTGACACTGGCTTCTCAATGGAAATCACAATTCGATGATTCTGAAGAGACTGATAATGAATGGAAAGGAGAAAATTTACAAAGTCCAGAACATAAAGGAATTACTATGCCAGTTATGGTTCCACAGGTAAAATTTTAAATATTATATTTTGTTATTGATTATGATTTAATATTTGGATTACAAGTATTAAGAACTGTGTAAAATGAATTTTTTTATTATCCATTAAGAAATTTTCATGAACTTTACACATTATTATTATTACACATATATGAACACACTCGCACGTATACAATTTTTTTTAAATATATACAATTACAAGTGTGTGTATTGATATTTTAGCTATCTGGCCCATATTGATGTCTTCCATTGATGCGCTTCTTACGTTCTACAATCGAATTGAGACCTCTTTATATATCATTATTAAGCTTTTTGTTTTTTTCTGTATTTCGTATTTTTTCTTTTTAACACTCGTTTTTTTAACTTTGCGATATATTTTTTGTGTTTTAGAAATTAACTTTTCATCATTTCCTAATTTTGTCAAATATTTTATCCTTCGCATTAACGGAAAAATATAATTAGATACACACACGTTTCTAAACAACGTGATACTTGTGTTCAAATAAAAAGCACATAGCGTTAGAAACGCATGCTTTATATTATATTGAAGTAGATTAAAAAAAAATATTGATCAAAAGATTATTGCGTATTCCATTTCGTATTGTCTATTGTACAAACATTTGTCATTAGTTTGATTTGAAAAACAAATATCGAAGTAAAATGCGAACGTCAATTTGATTTTATAAAATTTCTACATACAGTCAACAGTTGGTAGTGATGCTGTAACAATCGCAACTTCAGTGCCTGCATCTATCGATGCGAAAACGACAGTAATTCAATCAATGTCGATCGCGCCTCAACATTCAATAATACCAACTGCTCTCTCTCGAATAAGTGAAGATTCTACAAAGCCTACAGTTCCTCACAGGTGTTTAAACATTGCTGGTATTGAAAAATATCCAGATCTCCAAGGCGCACTTCCTCGCGCTTGGAGTGTTCCTGCATTGGCACCGCATGTTCGTGCTTACCTCGAAGCACCATTGGTATGTAATCTATTTATTATTATATTTGAATTATATTATAACTCAAATATTGAGTTTAATATAAAATTTATGAATATTTATATCCTTTATTGTATTGAAAAATATGTTATGTATGAATATATATCGTTTTCTAATATTAGGTTCAACAAGCTGCATTCGATGATCTACTATATGAAGTCGATGTCATGAGAAATATAGCAACACGTTATGATGAACCGAGACAAAGTCCTCCATTACGAAGGGCGAGTGTTCCAGCAGTTGCTTTTTCTCCACCTAACACAATACCTAGTACACCTGGAGGAGAAGAAGAAGAGGAAGCAGTAGCAGGAAGACTGGAAATTAGAGTAGTAGATGCAACAGGTGGTGCAACTGTTGTACAAACAACTGCAGATAGAGAACCATTGCAAAGTAAATATGTATTTTTTTTAAAAATTACATTTCTGAAAAATAATATTAGAATATTATTATTCTGATTTTCTTGATCATTATCATTATCATTATCATTATCATTATCATTATCATTATCATTATCATTATCATTTTTTTGATTGTACATTCATTTTCAATGCAATTTCATAGGAAAAATGACAAACGGTACAGTAGATAGCCCAGCTAGTCCAAAACCAGAAAGAGAAGAATCATCGATATTCGATACTGCTGAAAATCGAGCATCTATTGATGATGTTATGCATAAGGAAAACAGCACTATCACTGCCTCGACAACCATACCGAATATATTACCACTTCGTGAATATAAGGATGATAAAGAAAAGGAGGCTTCTAATAGGACTCATAATACTATCAGTAAAATTCCAATTCCGGTTAAAAGTCCTAGATGTTCGTTATCGGAGTCAACTCCAGAAACGAATACACAAAATACCCGGAGTGGTGTGGGGAATGAAATAGAAAAATCATCTACACCTGTGGCTATAACCAGGGAAAAAGATGCTAGTTAGTAAGATTTTTTTTTAGCTTATATGTAATTTTATAATTCTATCTTTTTGAATTCAAATGTGATGTTTAACATTGTACGGATCTGATTTTACGAATCTCACGAGTTTAAGCTCTTTGAAATTGATAAGTGATAAGTTTGAACTATTTGAGTGCAATGTATTCTCTGATGCTTATTATTAACGTTTGTCACGGTAAAAATTACGGTAAAAAACTAAAAAGACATTGTTTGATTTTCAATTTGAATTTCGTATGCAATGACGTATGCGATTTTGTGAAGATATATATCAAAATTTTAAGAAAGAATCATTTTTCGTAGAAATTACAATGAAAAATAATCATAAAAAACGTATTTATAATCATCAGTTTAAAAAATTGTAGTTTCAAAGTAATTGCATTCAACTTATATAACTGTTATAAATTATTTAGTCACAATTTTTTTTTCTCTTCTCTTTTCTATAAAAGAGTCCAATTAAATACGCCACAGTATCATTATCATTCAAAAATTATACATCTTTCGTTTAAATATTTCTTTTCACTTTTCAACATTTTAATGTACTCGTGCGCTTCTGTGCGTGTGTGCGTGTATGTGTGTGTGTGTGCGCACATATTCGTTATTCAGCAAGTATATGGTGAAGATTTTAAAAGCACACACATTATTAAGCAAAAGAGGATAAGGGAGGGAAAGGAAATGGAAAATTGTATTTTTCGCGTTTTGGACGCCAATTTATCACGATTAAAATTGAGCACAGCTTCTTAGCGATACTAATATTGCCAAATTTTAGCTGTCAAAGGCAAACGCTTGACAGTGGAGGTATTGCGACGCTGCTTGGCATTACCTGATGAATCATCGATCTTTTCATCTTTAACGGCTAATTCGACAGAAGATGAAAATTTAACTGGATGTACTCCTGCGTTACGTCGTCGAAGACAAAGCGAAAAATATGTGACCGATGCCAGTCAACTAAACTTGCGATTTCAAAGACCGCAACGCAGGATCAGATCTCATTCTGAAGTATTATCTAAATTTTCTCCTAGAGGAATACCTTCGCATCTTTTGGCAGAAACGGCTAAACGAACCGATGAAAGTAGCGATAATGATTCTGATAATAGTGGTCCACCAAATGCTCAACCTCCACCACCACCTACATCTTTGCCACCACATGTTGCAGAAAATAATGCTAGGTATATAAACTTTTTTTTTTTTTACATATAGAATAATTTAATCGATCATTTTAATTATCAATTATTAATTTACTTTTATTATAGATGTCGTAGGTTTCGACCTATATCAGATGGGACAATAATCAGTAAAGAATGGTGAGATACAACATCAAAAACGAATTCAAGTATTTGTTTGTATCAAAGATTAACAGACATTTGCGATCTATTCATTTGGATATATGGAATCCTTCTTTACGCGTGAGAGAAGACAAGAAAGTAATATTAATTACAATGATTTAATTCAAAATGTCACATACAGTTTGTTAACTTTTCTGTGTAGGAAAAGCATAAAAAATCTTATATGAGAAACTATTGCTTTCTTAGATAAAGCAATTTTGGTAAAGTGCTAAACATTACAGCAAAATGAATATGAGTCGAAGAAATATAATGGAATCTGCATGACAAGTGAGTTAGAAATTCTTCTAGATCAAACTATTCACAAATGTGTATTTGATTCAGCTGTAAGACTCTGTAAAAATATTATATGAATTGGTGGTGCTTCAAAGAATGTACTTCCTAGTCTAGAAAGGTATGTGACAATATGATAAAACTCATTGAATAATTATCATCATTAAGACAGAATTGAAAATAGAAACGGATTTTTCATAAGAAAAAAAAAAGAAATATTTTTATTTGAAATGACTATCTCTCTCTTTTCTCATTCATTGCTCTCTAATTATTATTCTATTATCATTATCATCATCATCAATACTATTATCATTATCATTATCTTCTTTTTCTTCTTCTACTTATTATTATTCCTTATCTTACTTGTCTTCCCTTTTTCATTTTTTCAAATGCATAGTTTCTTCCACAGAAGGTTCCTTATTTTCTAAAATATTCCATCTTACTATTTTTTGCACTTTAGAAAAAACTATATTATGAAATTTTATTTTATTTTTTCAATATAAACAAAGATTGTGACTGTTATATTAATTATGGTGAAAACAGAGATTCATATGTATAGACAAATTATTGAAAATATTTTTTTTACATTATTTTACCATTGAGCAATTTATTTATTGAGTTATTTTACAATTAAATAAAAATTTTTCTAGTATTTTTCTTATAAAAACAATATATAATAATTAGAATTAATATTAAAAATATAAAATGATATGAACTATTATACCATATTATTTTAAATAGCAGTTTTATATGAATTTTTTTTAATTATATCCTAATAATGGTATTCTTTGAAAAACCACCATTACAATTAATAAAAGTTAGTAAAAAACAATTGTTAACATAAAGATAACAATGATAATTGTTAACATAAAAGTTCTTGAGCAAATGTATATCTCATCCGAATTATCTTTTTATGATATGTAACGTATTAGCGATTTGCTTACACTAAAGCTATCGCAAGAGATAGTTAAATTCAGTTAAGAGATCACGATTTACCACTTGTCAATATAAGGAAGCCTTCGATTGGATGAAAACATTTTATCATCAAGATTTAAGCGATGAAAAAACATGTACGAATGAATAATTCACTCAGAAGAGAATGTGTAGTTAGATTACATATAATCACGCGTATTTGTCTTGCACTTCCCAATAACGCGATTTTTCCAAACAGTTATAAATCCGCAATCGAAACAAACATAGTGATGCGTAAAACTAGTCAAGTAGAATCCTTTAGCATTCTATTAATGAAACCAAATTTGCGTATAGAATTATAAATATTATACTTGTACAAAATAGTTTAGGATTTATTTTGTGCAATGATCGAAATAACGTTAAAGATACGATACGATAGATAGCTTTAAGTTGACGTCGCGGAAGTCGTTTCGCGGTATGAAAACAAGTGTGCAGTATGCGCGAGTAAAAACTACGAAACTATCGTAGAATAAAATGAGAAATGGAGTGATGCGAGTCTATACGAGTGCTTATTAATTGTATACGTATAAACGCGAATGCGATACGTATGTTATTATATTTGTCCGTGCGCTCGTTTTGAAATTTAAGACAAATTCATCCGAAATTTTTTGTGAAAATGTACGTAATTTCACAATAGAAATGGGCCAGCGATGAATACTTTGTAAATCGGTAATGAATCTGTAATCAAAGATCAAGTGTATGTTTGAATGTAAACAAACACGCATAATACAGCTGGATGTATCTCTAATCTAGTATATTTGGATGTATCTTCAATCTATAATGAAAAAATATCGTAAGTTACTTATACTACCATAATTCACCTTTGCACTCTTAGAACAATAAAGAAACAGTGTTTTGTTTTTAAAAGTACATATAATTTATCATTGATGCATTATTTAAGCGAAAGTAAATTCGATTAAAATTCAAAGAACTGTAAAGCACATTTAATAAATCTCGCGCATAACTGTTACACACATTTTTTCCATATAAAAAAAAACATTTTCCATAGATGTCAACATATTCTTTAATTTACTTTGTAAGTTTTAATGGATTACAAGGAGAAATAAATGATATATAATAAAATTATCGATATATAGTTATATTTTCGAAATTAATAAATATAATTACATACATGAAATGTTTGTTTAAAGATAATTGACAGCAAAAATTTATAATTTCAAATAAAAAACAAAATTATGATTTGATGAATAAAAATTATTGTTATCTTAATTTTAAATAATAAAAAATAAATAACTAATCTAAATTTGAATAATTATGTTATATTACAATTGTAGGTTATTGAAATAACCTATAATTTTGGTGTTCATGTATGTATTTATATATTTCGATATTAATATAAATATATACTATCTATATTAATCATTTTTGAGTATTATATATTGTTAATTGTTCTACCATTTTATTTAATAATAAATAATTAATTTAAATTAAAATAATTATATTGTTAAGTTACAATTGTAATTCATTGAAATAATTATAGTTTTTAAGTTCATGTATGTATTTGTATATATTATTATGTTCATGTATATTTAGATATTAATATAAGTATATATCTATATCGATCTTACTTTTGACTATTATATAATTGTATATATTTATTAATTGTTTTTTATTCAATTGATGATTATATATATATAAGAAATATGAATGAATATAAATCTAAAAAAATACATACCGATAATTTTTATTTTTTCTAAATTTCTAATTTAGAAATGTTTCAAAATACTTTAGAAAATTTACTAGTATTTGATAATATTATTATTATTAATATATATTAGATATATATCTTGTAGTAAATATCTAGAATGATTTATATATTTTATTTTACTTTCACTACTAGTTACTTTTCATAAACTAGTTATTTTAATTATTTATTAAAATTATCATATTATTATATATTGATAAAAAATATTATTCTTTTAATAAATAAATAATTTAATTTAATTAATATTAATGAAAAAAATATTGATAAATTCTATTTACTTTAATCCAAGTCAATCATATTAAATTTATTAAATTTACATTAAATACATTAAATCATTCAATATTAATTAAATAAAAAAGAATTTGATTTCTATTTAATAATAGAATATCAAATATGTAAATGATGAAAATGAAAAAAATGTTTAAATATTACTAAATGTTTTATAAAGTATAAGTTGAACATATATATATATATATAACATCAAATGACAATATGTAACATAACCTCTTTTTTAGTAAAAGGTAAGAAAAAATATTAACGAATGAAGGAATTGAAAATATACTAGATTGAAATGAAAATTTTATTAAAATATTATTATAATCAATAAGATAAATTATAAATATAAAATAATAGTGAAATATATATTTAATATATTTTTATTTCAGAAAATGCTATCTTTGATTAGATATCTAAATAATCGTAAATTTTTGAGTCTTATTTGTATTCCTATTGCTGCTGTTGGTTATTATATAGAAGGACTTCTATCTGATCGTTATACACCTCCAACTGCACCAATAATGGAACAACGTGAAGAAAGATTATTAGCCAATATGAATTCTATGCCTGATGAAAAAAGGCATTCTCCATTGGAAATTAATCTTCCACCATCATTATCTGTATAATTATTAGCATAAACTAAGTATATGATCAAAAAAATGTATAATATAAAGAAAAAATTTAGTTCCATTCATATAAAATCAAAAATATAATTTTAATATATGATTATTATATTTTATTAATATGATTTAATAAAAATTAGTACAATAATTAATTTTATCAATAAGAATTAAGTTATGAAAAATTGATATATTTTTTAAACAATTATTCCAAATTTGTATACAACAATATGGTGATAAACTTTTCCAGGTTCAAGTATACTATTAGGAAAATTTTCCTACAAACAATACAAGAATATTAGTTTAAAATATCTGTAAATTTTAATTAAATCGTCTATCAACAATCTGATTTCTTTTAAATTTTAATATGTTTATGTTTTTTTAAATATATTATAAAATAATATTTCTGTACTTACATGATTAATCGCATTCGGATAATTTTGCGTTTCTAAACAAAACGCGGCATGTTTAAAGTATTCGCTTCCATTCTTTCCTCGAATACCTGTACCAGTAGATTCAGGAAGAAAGTTAGCGGTATAAAATTGTATTCCAGGTTGATTTGAAAAAACTTTTAAATATCTGCCAGAAGTTGGATGTAAAACAGTAGCAACTAGATTTTTTTCATTTTCAGTATTGTTCATCGTTAAACAAAAATTATAATCGTAACCACCTCCTGGTATTTTGTCAATGATATCTCCAAGTATGGTTGAATTTCTCAAGTCCATTACAGAATCATCGACAGAACGAATTTCTCCAGTGGGAATACTTTCGGCATCGGTGACTGTCCAGTGATCCGCATTTATAGTAAATTGATGTTTATATAGTTCACATGCGTTACCAGTCTGAAATTTATTCAATCAGAGGTAATTATAAGATAAATTATAATGTACTAAAAGAAATACATCTTGCATGTGAATGTTGCATTTAATGATAAAATTTTTCTACGTTCGAATGACAAAGTAATAAACAAAATAATGAATTTTTAAATATTTACGAACATGGCCAGCTAAATTGAAATAACTATGATTAGTTAAGTTAATAGGAGTAGCTTTGGTAACGAAGACTTTCATTTCGATACATAATTCTCCATCTTTGGTTAATTGAAAAATGACTGAAGCTATGGTATCACCAGGATAACCTTCATCACCGTCTTCACTTAATAAAGACAATACAAGTTGATTATATTGAACATCCGCATGCCATATTTTTGAATTCCAACCCTTGGTACCACCATGAAGATGATTTTGTCCTTCATTTTTAGTTAAATGATATTTTTTCCCCTTTAGAGTAAATTCTCCTTTTTTTATACGATTTGCAACTCTTCCTACTGTTGCACCAAAATATGGGTTATAAGGCATCATATATTCTATAAAAAAAATCGGATTAAATATAATATTAATAAAATTTAAATATATTTTTTATTTAAAACAAAAAAAAATAAAAGAAAAAATAATAAAAAATGAAATACTAAATTAAAAAAAGTTTCATACAACATATTTTAATTATTACGTATATTATGTATTTTATCATTGTTACTACGAAATCATTCATATTTTATCATATGAATACTACGAAAAATGAATTAAGTAATAAAAAGATATAAAAATTTAACTTATACCTTCTATGCTATCAAAACCCAAGACGATGTCTGCTATATTTCCATATTTATCTGGTATTCTAATAGATGTTATCGTCGCACCATACGTTATAATATCTACTTCTTGACCCACTTTATTTTTTAAAGTATATTTTTCTATGCTTCGATTACCGATACATCCCCATTGTACAACAGATATTAACTCTTTACCGTCTGAATCCATAATCGATCTATGCAATACAAAATTAAATGAACTTATATACAATACAAAATGAAATGTACATGAAATTCGTTTAACTGAATTGAATCTAATATTTAACTTACATACATATGCTGCGCGATATTTCATGCATATGTGTTATAATGTGTTATAATTGTGTTACGATTGAAGATTAAACTTAGATAGGATAATAAAGTATATATAATATAATTGAAAAAATTCAACAATAAAAGAGATTTGTAATAACAATCTTATATTCCAAGATTTTATTGTTTTAATTAATTTAAACGAATTCTGCGAATTGAAATTTGAATTAAATCTAGATAATTATAAAAAAATAAAACTCAATATCATGTAAATAATTTATAATTAATCTGATTTGCTTTTTATTTTTATTTATAAAATTAAAGGTAAATATATTCTTACTTGAGTAATAGAAGAACTATTACGGCTATATAATGAGGAAACTGCGTTGACATAGCTACTAGCAACATCGTAATGAAGTTATTTAAACACTGGAACTTTTGAAAGGCTTGTCTTATATATATATATATATATTACAAGTTTAAATCTTGTATCATGATATATATAAATTGTGTATATTTTATTTTTATGTCTAAAATTATTTCATCTAGGTAAAAAATATATTAAAAATAAATATAAAAATTAGAAAAAAGACAAGAGATACAATTTACATATTAAATATATATATGTATAAAGTATAATACAACAATTATGTAATTGTTTTATATTATTTAATTAATATGTTATATTATTTATATAATTTATATCAATATAAAAATATTTATCTAATTATTTAATTTTTTTTTCTTTATTTTATGAAGTACCGATTCGAGCATTTAAGCATATATACACATATATTACTTACGTATATAGATGTTTATGAATACAATCATGCGAGAATTTTTTTATTTTATATCTTATGTTGCAAAAATTTCCTAACAAATAAGTTGTTATGAATTTCAGATTCCCTCCTCCTCTTCCAATGGTACTATTGATTTGTTGTATTTTTCTAAATAAGAACAACATTTTTCTGTAATCTTAGTACTTGACATTTCTCTGATATCTGAAACAAAGGAAACTCTCATATTTATTATTTATCGAATAAATTAATAGGGTTCTATTATCATGGTTTGTTTTCAATGATTTCGTTTAGTTATTGATTAATTATATGTTCTTTTTTTCACGATTATTGTTAAATAACGGTTTTGGAACAATTTTAAGATAAATAATTATATCGATAATGCTAAATTTTACAAATCTATAGATTAACGTTATAGTTCGATATTTTTTTTTTTATTCGAGGTTACTGATTGCATCTATATGTATCACATGCATATTACGTATTCTAGTTTGTACTCGCGTGGAAAAAAACTTGTACATATGAAAAAACTTCATATATTACATACATAAAACTTACAAAATATTAATTTATTGAATTAATTTATTAAAATTTATTTATTTAAATTTATTTTCTAATTTAATGTTTTAGATATGAAAAATTATAATTAATTTATTTTTAATAAATTTGAATTTTAATTATTAATATTTAAATATTTATTTTATCTATATTATAAGTTTAACGATAAACAAATGTGCCTATTAAATAATAGATATGAGTATGTTCTTTTTAATTAATAAATAAATTTAACGATAAATAAATATGCTTATTAAATAATAGATATGAATACGACGTTCTTTTTCTTCGTCTTTATTTCAATAAATATAAAAAAATCAAGTCATTTTCAAAGAAAACAATTATTTTTATTAATATATAGATGCATTTTTGTTATAAGAAGATTTGACAATAATGTCTTAATCATGTTAATTGAAAGACAAAAAAATAGAATAAATATTTTTCATACTTCAAAGTTATTTATTTCTGCATAGTTTTTTTTTTTCTTTTCTCTATATTTAATCAGTTTTTATATCTATTTCTAAGAGTATTTCTATTTATATTGTTTTATTAGAAAATTAAAATTGTTTTTAATAGCATATTTTTTCTAAAAATATAATATTATATTTGTAAAATAATATAAATTTAAAATAAAAAAAATAGATTTTGTTAAGATATTATTGATATAAAATAGATGCTTGTATCACAGAATTACATATCACAGGAATATATTCATAGGATATTTTTGAAGGATTGATTCTGAGAAGAAACAAATACAAAAGTTGATGTATAAAAATGTCGATTGAGGTTTATTTATTAAGTTAAGTCTATTTTAAGTTTGCGTTAGATGAAGCGAGGCGAAGATAGAACGACGTTGTGTTATATGATAGAGATAAAATTGTTTCTCATTCTATCTCTGTCTCGTTTCGTCTCATGCAAATTTAAATTGTTTATAATTTAATAAATAAGTTTCAATCTTTTTTTGTATACCAATTTTTATGTTTATTATGGCTTCTAGAATTCATTCTTCAAAAAGAGATCCATAAATATCAATTTTATATATATAAATGATATACAATAACAAGAATGATAATGATGGTACAGTATAGTGGCGCTACCATCGTTTAAAAGTAAAAAAGGAGTAGGAGATATCTGGATGCTATTGGTCGTGTATATTACGCATCGTAGTTTCCTTGAATTGTGTCGCATATTTGTGTCAATTTGTGCACGAATACGAGTTGCGTACGTTAAAAAGTTGTTTGTTCTTTGTTCTATAACCGCGTCTAGTGTATTTGCAAGAGTCACGTAAGAAGTATACGTGAACAAAGTAAGCCTTTGACTATACGCAATTTGTGGATTAAAACTTTAATTTTTTTTATGTGCAATAAGAATAAACATCAACTGTACTCCTACTTTGTTAGTATTGTTATTTTTATCATTATTCAATTACAATTTTTTTTAAAATTAAATTATTCAAATAAATCGAATCATTCGATTATCTTAATTTTTATACGTGGCACGCGACGGTGACTCAACCGTTGAAAGCAAACGTAGAAGTACTTACAGCGCCAGTGAATTTCTATCATAATAGAATTTTTTCTTTAATACATATCTCTTTTTCTCTCTTGCTCCTCTCTTTTCTTTCTTTTTTTATCTTTTTTATATAATTTTTTTAATGATATATGTACAATAGCATATTAATTCTAACGTTATTCTTAATCTATATTGACAAAAAAATTGAAATATTGAGAATTAATCAGTTAAGTACTATTAAAATTGAAGCAGAGTCTAAACTGTTAAAAAAAACGTGGGTGAAACAAGTGAGAGTTGACGACTATTTATGCAAGATTCAATACTACAAATTTCTCG